GCTGGTCCAGACAGGTCTCCAGGGAGCCAGGCTCTGGGGAGAAAGGATGGAAGCTCTGCTGAGCACCCTTTGTGCTTTTGCACCATGTGAACATATCATCTGTTCAAAAAGATATAAAATTAAAACTTTCAGGAATCAATAATAAAGCAAATCTGTTGAGAATCAAACAATTTATACTTAGGAAACATAAGATGAGAGAAACCATAGTCAGTTGGATGCAGCCAAAATGGAGAAAATAACTCCTGGGCTTGTTGACCATTCTTTCTGGGCACTCATCAGCCCAAACCCATCCATCTGTCTTTTGGTACCGGGTATTGAACCCAGGGTACCAAGCCTGGGGATATGGCTTAACCACGGGGCCATATCACCAAGCATTTTCTATATTTTATTTAGAGACAGAGTCTCACTGAGTTGCCTTAGGCCTCACTAAATTGTTAAGGCTGGCTTTGAACTGTCGATCCTCCTGCCTCAGTCTCCTAAACCACTGAGATTACAGGCATGCACTACAGCACCCAGCTCAAGCCCACCCATCTTTATTGATGTTAAAGGCAACATACAACAAGACATCAAGAATATATGTATATGCTATCCTCAAGGAATTCCCAGACCAGGCAGAGACAGGTGTGGCTGTGCAGGGACCAAAACCACCACCCAGAGCCCACAGGAGATGGGAGGTACAGAAATGGGTGCTGAAGGAGGTGGGGAAGGACTCCTGCTGATGCTGCCTCAGCCAGGGTCAAAGATCTGAAGGAGCCACATGAGCTTTGCTTGTTTTGAAGGAAGAAACACCAAGCAAGGCTTGGCCCAGTGCCTCAACAAAGCTGCATCACTGAAGTTAGAGCAGGTCAAGAACACATGGGGTTCTGGAGTACAGTCTAGGAGGCTCTGGGGAAGCTGGGTGCCACCCTGGGCTGTAGGAGTTATCAGCACCCCTGGTCTCACACTCCTAGTAAAGGAAACCAAAAGCATCACCAGATATTGCCAAATACCTGGGTGAGACCATGGCTTAGCACACGTCACCTGAGCAACTATGTGGAAAAGAAAGTGAGGGGTTCAAAGCCAAAGGGAGAACACAGATCAGGAAGCCAGGCTTCCAGCAGCCTCAAACAAACTGAAGTTCCAGAGCACCAGAGGATAAGGCCCAAAGAGCAGGTCCTGAGTCTGAGAAGCCTCAGAGACTCCTGTGTCCTAGGCTGAGGAGAGCTATTTAGCTGTACCTTAACTCCCATCCATGTGAGGCCACCCAGATGGCAGGAAGCAGGCTCAATCATTTTTGTGGAGGGCTAGGGGCTGGGGTGAGGATCATGGTATTATCTCCAGTACACATTAATCTCTTGCCTGCAAGAGGGCTCTGCATTCTGTAGCTCATAGAAGCTGAGCTGCCAATTCAAGATGAAATCTGATGAGAAACTGAGTTTCCTCATGCCATAAAAACAAGCATGTCCCACATAAGCATTGGTCCTGGGTCTCGAAGCAAAATCACAAGCAAATGGAATGTATGCAGGAAATAAGATGAAGTCACATAATACACAGTGGCAATGTGCTACTACTGTCCAGAGAAACCTGTCCCAAAACCCTGATCTGGACTGATTCCTCTCTAGGCCACCCCACCTGTCACTGCTCATCAGGAAAGTCCCTGTTCACATCCCTGTGATGGTTCTTTATTAGCTAGAATATTAAAATCTGAAGTCATCAACCTAAATGCAGAGATCTTTCTATCTATCATCATCCTCATCTCCCACTATTTCTTTTTTTTTTTAAAGAGAGAGGGTGGGGGGAATTTTTTAATACTTATTTTTTAGTTTTCGGCGGACACAACATCTTTGTATGTGGTGCTGAGGATCGAACCCGGGCCGCACGCATGCCAGGCAAGCGCGCTACCGCTTGAGCCACATCCTCAGCCTTCCCATTATTTCTTATACAAACTTTAAACTTATACAAACTTTAAACCACATATAAACCACCTTCTTTCCTTTGCTCCTAAATCTAAAACATTTTCTGCCTGTGTTGCCTCCTTGCAGTCAAAGCCTAGCAGCCACCTCCCTCCAGAATCTCTGAAGCATGCTTATCCTGTGACTGGACCGGATGTGGAGGGTTCAGGTTTTGCAGGCCACACAGCCTGTCACAACTATTCAATTTGCCAAAGCAGCCTCTGACGATACAAAAACAAGCAATGTAGCTGTTTCAATGAACTTTATTGACAAAACAGGGAGGCAGTCTCCTGTGGGCCATAATTAAATTGAAAACTAAAAAAAAAAAAAAACTAAATAAAAAAGCTGGGGATGTAGCTCAGTGGTAAAGCACCCCTGGGGGCAATCCCCGGGACCAAAAAGAAAAATGAATATATCTAAGATACAGAGGAAAGAGATGATCAGATCTAAGGACAGTCATCTCCTTGGAAAACATATGGCTTCTCCCCACTTTGCTCTAAAGCAACTCTTCACTTATTCCAACAGTTTGAGGAAAGAAGAACATCACTGTGCTGGTAATTCAAGTTTTCATTATGTTACACATCCTCATGGTCACCTAAGGTTTATTTTAAGGAGCTACACTAAAGCAACTCTGTGGAGAGCAACATGGCTTTGGAGGTTTGACTCAGTCCTCTGGACCTTACCCAGGAACAATCCTACCTAACCAAGGACAGAAAGTTCCATGGTATTCCAAGATAGTTCATTAGATGCACTCTTTCTCTGAAGATATTTTTAAAAACAGTTCTATATAATAACTTACGTAAGTAAACAAGATTCCTTCTTTTACCTTTATAAAAATCTGTTTTTCCTAATATAATCTCAGCTTGTTTGTGGAAGAAGCAATAGACCCCGATTTCAAACTCGTTTAATACTACACTATCTACCAATAGTGCTGGGGATAACTGAAGAGCCCATGATCCAGCACATGCATCCTGTAGCACCCAATCCCACCCACACCTAACCCTGCCAGGCCAGAACCTTGGCTGTAAGAACAATCCCTAGCTTTTTAAAATACAAGTGCCAGGGACAACGGGTTTTGCAAGTTTTAGTTCACTCACAACAAGTCTCCGGAGCCAGTACTACTTAGCATACCCATTTTACAGCTGAAGAACCAAAGCCAAAGAGTACTTGCCTAAAACCACAGAGCCAGTAAACGAAGAGTCACGACTCAAAAGCGGTCAGTCTGGCTCCAGAAAAACCCTCTTGTCCCTTCTTCCCCAGCTCACTAGACCAAGCGCAGGAGGGAGGCGCCTCTCATTCCTTCCAGCAGTCGGGCATCCAGGATGGCTTAAGGAATGAATGGATCCTGGGCTGTCCCGTCAAACCTCCATCACTCTTCCTCTCTCCCCAGGCTCATTGTGAAAGAGAAGCAGCCGACAGAACCACCTGCTGTTTCCAGAAGGCACTCAGGACGCAATGCTCAATTCCCCTCCCTGGCTTTCAAAGACAAACGTCCGTATTGTCTGCACCAAGGGAGGAACCGAAGCCTTGCAACTGTAGGTTTTTCTGCAGAGGTCACTGGAGGCTTGGTCAAACCCCCGCAACACTGAAGGGGGAGGGGGTCCAGCCGCATTTTTGCCGCTGAAGGCTGCGCAGCGCCCACAGCAGCTGCGGTGAGGAGCAGCAGCATGGAACACACCCACAGCTGCCGCGCCTGGAGCCGGCTGCACGTTTTAAAATAAAGATGTCCTGGCCCGGACTACAGGCTCTTGGCCCCCACCCACACCACGCCGGCCCTCGTGATGTGCCGAGGAAGCTCCAGCTCCAGAGACCCCGGAAAGGGCAAGCGGCCCCTGCCGCAGAGGCCGGCCACGGAACCCAGGCACGCCACGCGCAGGCAGCCATGACCCGGCCTGGAGACGCCCACCGACTCCCCGGGCCCGGAGGACAAAGCCCGATCGGGGTCGCAGCCAATGCCCGCTCGAACCCCGCCCGGCGGCCACCACCTGGTCCCATCCGACCTCACCCGGAGGAATGGGATGTCGTCCCGCTCAGGAAGAGCACCTTCACACTCACACCTGTCCTCGGGCCGGGCACACATGCACTCACACCAGTCCCCAGGCCGGGCACACATGCACTCACACCTGTCCCTGAGCCTGGCAAACATGCACTCACACTGTCTGCAGCCGGAGCACACACACACTCACACCTGTCCTCGTGCTGGGCACATTCACACCCATCCTCTGGTCAGGGACACGCACTCACACCTGTCCAGGGCCAGGCACACATGCGCTCACACCTGTCCTGCTGGGGGCCCACGCACTCACACCTGTCCTCAGTCAGGCACACACACACACCCGCCCTCAAGCCGGGCACAATCACAACCACCCTCCGGCCATGCATTCTCACACTCATCGCTATCCTCGAGCAGGGGCACACAAGCATTCACTCCGACCCCTAGATCCGGCTCACTCACAACCATATTCCCGCCCCTCACACTTAGAATGCCCATCCTCGAACAGGGGCACACTCACGCACGCCCGGGCCAGGCACATTCGCGGACTCACACCCACCCTCACACCCCGCGGCGTGTGCCTCGTCCCCTCGCGGCCCGACCCGCGGCTTCGGCACCTCCCGCCCGGCCCCTCGCGCCTCTTCGGTCTCTGCAGGACCGAATTCCTTGCGCCGGCCTGCCGGGGCCTCCGCCCGGGCCCGGACGCCGGGCCGCAGCGCAACCTCTCCGCCATCTTCCCGGCCGCGCCGCCCACCACCCGCGTTCTCACCGGCCGGCTGCACACGGGCCGCGCCGCCACGGCCCTTCATCCTGGGCCGCGCGCCGCGCCCAATCTTTCCGCGGCTACCGGGCCGCCGCCGCCACAGCCACCCGCGGTCCGAGTCCTCCTCCGCTGCGGCCGGCCCAGTGCGCTGCGGCCCCGCGTCCCCCGTCACCAAGCGCAACCCCCCGCCTCCGGCTCCGCCCCCGCACCGCCGCCGCCGCCGCCGCCAGGGGGCGCCCCGCCTGGCAGCACTGCGCTTGCGCTGGCGCGTGGCATGCCGGGAGCTGGTCCTGGCACCGCCCCGCTCCAGACCCCGCCCCCAGCGCCGCGCGACTCCAGTTGCACCTGCGCTCACTGAACCGGCCCGGCCCCGGTGCTTCCGGCGCTTCTCAGCTGGTGGTGGGTAACCCCTGGCGCGTCCCGTTCTGTATTTGGTATGATTTCACTTGTGCGCACCATGCTGGGCTCCCTGCATCTGAAATTTCCCCCTTCCTCGACTCTGGAAAGGTAGCCTTGCTAAAATATCTCGCGTCCTCCAAATCGAACTGCTCCTTACCATTTTCTTCTTGTCTATCATTTTTTCTCGGTTACAGCCTTTCTAATAATGCTCCCTTTTGCTACATTCATTTCTAGAAGTCGTATTTAACTTGCATTTCTAGCAATAAGAAGGAGATGAAACCGCGGAAGCTCTCCGCGACAGCACACCATTTCGTCTGCGGGGTTCCGACACCGAGAAAAAAAGCGCGCCGAGACCCACCTACTCTGCACCTCTGCTTGTAGCCTGCGGGTCCGCTTGGGACTCACACTCTGCACTTCCCCGGAGTCATCACTCGCTGCACCCCAGTGCACGTGGACGAGTGTACCTGCGCCGTGCCTTCAGCTTGCTCTGCATTGCGCTCACCTGAGGAAACCCAGCTGGATGAGCCCGACCATTCTCCTCCGAGGCCTCTGGAGAAACGTCACCAGCCGGCCTGATGCGTTTCTGTTGGAACCCTTGACCACATACGCAGAAAGAGCACTTCACACTCCTAAGCAATCTCCAAGAGGGCATGTCTCCCCGCTATCAGATAACTTCTCAGATCCCTCTAGTTAAGCCTCCCAGAGGGGACCAAAACACCCATCACCAAACCGCAGGCTCACCAATCCATCCCCTGCCTTTCACTTTCTCTTCTCCTATCAAATATAGTTGCTTCAGGGAACTGGAATCCATGCCTTTCTCCTGCATTGTCAGTTTGCCCATCTCCATTAAATAATTTCCAAGAGCATGCAAACACACTCTTTGTGTTCATTGTAAAAGCAAAAGGCCTCCTTTACTCCATCCCACCTCCCTGGGGACTCCACTATTCCCTTAGTGACTGTGCCAGCACCTCAATATCATCTTGTTTTATTTCTTTTTCTCTCTTCCACCGATTCCATAAAAATGTTCTTGCTTAGGTCACTTTTTGTGGAGTGTAGAGCATTCTTCTGTTATCTTGTTGCCCTCTCTGAACGTCCAACATGTGGCCTTTGTGGATGGTAGCACTGGCTGTACAGGTCTGTGATTGTGAGGAGATGACCCTGTGTGTCCACACTTGTAGCACAAATCGAGGTCAGAGTTTGGGTGAGGATTGCGGGCAACCTATCCACACATCCTAGAAAGGTGCAAATGCAGTTATTGAGGACTTCTGGGGGAGGGAACAACATCCTTTGCCTTCACCTTCTATGTGAGTGTAAGCAAAGATAGAGGGCGAGGATTTTCTTAGAAAAAGGGGTAGACCTAGTAGTGGGGATTATTTTCTATTTCTACTCTCCTTCCCAACAGGTGTGAGCATTTATGTAACTGAAAATTAAAATGTGGAAAAAGATAGGTTAAGGGGATATGACACAAAGTAAATGCAAGATAGCAATTTTAATATTAGAAAAAGTAGAACATAAGTACAAAATGTTATAAAGGACCAAGGGGAAATTATATTCTCAGCAAATTATAAATAATTAACTATATTAATATATTCATTAACATACTTGAAACTGATCTTTGGTGAGATAGACAAGTCAACCACTGTGAACAGAGAATTTTAACACCTCTGATAAATCAGGCAGAAACGAGCCAAAATACAGAATACTTGAATAACATGGTTAACAAACTTAAACTAAGAGATATAGAAATAACATTATATCTAAAATGCAGAAGATGCAAACGAGGAAAATTCACAAAAACTGACCATGGCACTGATTCAAATTCTAGAGGATCAGTGTCATTCAGAGTATAATCTGGCACAAAAGGAATAAAATTTGAAAGTAATTACAAAGGAATAAGTGAGATACATCCCAGATACAATGAAATAGCCCCCACTAAATTCTTCAGTTAAAAAGGAAATAAAAGCTGGGCACAGTGGTGCACGCTGTAATCCCTGTGATTTAGGAGGCTGAGGTAGGAGGATTGCTGAGTTCAAAGCCAGCCTCAGCAATGGTGAGGCCCTAAATAACTCAGTGGGACTCTCTAAATAAAATACAAAAAAAAAAAAGAGCTGGGGCTGTAGCTCAGTGGTAGAGCGCTTGCCTAGCATGGGTGAGGCATTGAGTTCCATCCTCAGCACCACATAAAAATAAACAAAGGCATTCTGTCCATCTACAACTACAAAAAATAAATAAAATACAAAAAAGGACTGGGGATGTGATCAGTGTTTGAGTGCCCCTGAGTTCAACACCCCTGGTACAAAAAAAAAAAAAAAAAAGAAATAAAAATTTAATAAATTAGGACTGGAGTGTAGCTCTGTGACCAAGTACTGTGCTTAGCATGTGTGAGGCCCTGGGTTCAATCTCCTAGAACCAATAATAATAGTAGGCTGAAAAACAATAAACAATAAAACTTTCTGGAATAAAGTAATTGAGGGAATTTAAAATAGAGTTTTTATAAGATAAGAACAATTGGAAAATATTCACCTATGCTCTAGATGTTGGCAAAGGAGAGCGGCATTCCAAATTAGAAAAAAAAAAATCAGTAATCAATAAAATAAAGAACAGCAAAATACAGAATATCAGCAAACTAAGAATTGATGGTTTGGAAAGGTCAATAAGGCATTCCCTAGAGGAATGGATACTCACCTTTCAGATGTTGCTGCCTCACCATCCTACTCCTCTTTTCTAGCTTCTCACTTTCCTGATTTCTCAAGGTGAGACGGCTCTGGGCTCAGTCCTGGGATCTTATTCCTTCATAGCTAGGCTGCTACCTTGGTGAACTCAAGCTACCCACACACATGTGCACTTGGAATATCAGTTTCCCAATGCCTTCTTGGCTCATTGTTGCATCCCCAATGCTCAGGTCAATAAATATTTGTTAATAAATGAACAAACAAAAAGAATTAATGAAGATGATGCAAGACTTATGCACAATAAATAGATTTTTTTTTCCTTTATATTTAGGGGGTCGAGGCTGTGGCTCAGCGGTAGCGCACTTGCCTGGAATGTGTGAGGCACTGGGTTCCATCCTCAGTACCACATATAAATAAGTAAATAAATAAATAAATATCCATTGACAACTACTAAAATGTCAAATATATATATATATATATATATATATATATATATATATCCATACACATACATACATATATATATTTAGACTGGGTACAGTGGAGCACATCTGTAATCCCAGTGCCTGGGAAGGCTGAGGCAGGAAAATTGCAAGTTCAAAGCCAGCCTCAGCAATGGCGGGGCACTAAGCAACTCAGTGAGACCCTGTCTCTAAATAAAATACAAAATAGAGCCAGCTGTGGGAGCCGGGTGTGGTGACACACACCTGCAATCCCAGCAGCACAGGAGGCTGAGACAGGAGGATCTCAAGTTCAAAGCCAGCCTCAGCAGCAGGGAGGTGCTAAGCTACTCAGTGAGACCCTGTCTCAAATAAAATACAAAATACGGCTGAGGATATGGCTCAGTGGCTGAGTGCCCCTGACTTCAATCCCTGGTACAAAAACTATATATTTTTTAAAATTTTTTGATTGTGGTAAAACACACATAAACTTTACCACTCTAACCTTTTTTAGGTGTGCAGTTCAGTGGCATTAGTACATTTACATTCTTTTGCAACCAACACCACCATCCACGTCCAGAGTTTTTTCATCTTCCCACATGGAAACTGTGCACAGTACATGTTAACTGCATTGCTTCCTCCCCCGGCTCCTGGCAATCATCCTCCTATTTTGTGTCTCCTGTGAGTTTGACTACTCTGTGTAAGTGGATCACACAATATCTGCCATTCTGTGTCTGGTGTACTTCATTTAGCATTATATACTCCAGGTTAATCTATTTTCTAGCATTTGTCATCATTTCCTTCCTTTTTAAGGCTGAGTAAAATTCATGAAGTAGATACATGTCCTTTATCCATTCATCTGTGGATGAAGTCTTGGTTACTTCTGTCTCTTGGCTACTGTGAATGTTGCAGTAACTGAGAATGATGTAGCTTATTTTCTTTCACCACTCTGATTCCCTGGTGAGCCTGGCCCACTGGAGGGGTGTGTATTAGTGGGGACAAAATGCAACCATGTCATTCAGAGATATCTCCTACCTCCCAACATCTTCTCTCAGGGGTTCAGGGGCTCTGGGACCCTCTCTCACTTGGCCTTACTATGGAATAACATCCATTTAACCCTGATATCACAAAAGTATCCCGAGCTGTCATTTCCATTTCACAGAGGAAAAACAAATGCAGAAGGCAACAGGCCAGCAGTCTCCTAGTTAGTGTGGGACAGACTTGGATCCAGACATTCATGGTTCCAAGACACTTTTAACATTTACAACACAGTGCTTTTTTTGATTTTATAATGTTTAATAGTTATTTTAGAATTGGACAGGCCTGAAAGTCTGAGAATGCAATGAACATGTTCATTACCACCCTGCCTCCTGATGGCAACCCATGTTTGATCATATTAAATGGTGACAGTGGTTGAGAGTGACAGACAGGTGCCTTAGGATCTATTGATGACAACTCCACAGATGTGACATCTGTTGGCTTAGAAGCTAAGGGAGCAGGCACGTGTTCTGTTCGTTTGTTCTGTTGACATATACACGACAGTAGAGTGTATTTTCATATACATACATGGGGTACAAACCATTACAATTTTGATCCCATTCTTGCATTGTATATGATGTGAAGTTTCACTGGTCATGAATTCACATAAGAACATAGGAAAGTTATCTCCTGTTCATTCTACTGTCTTTCCTGTTCCATCTCCTCTCCCTTCCCTTCCCTATCTCTAATCCAATGAATTTCTATTCAGAAAGAGAGAATTTGTAAATATACTAAGTGCAGAATGGAAAGAAGACTAAAAAAAATAAGCATGGTATAAATAATAATATAGGAACACATTTTAAATGAAATCTTTTCAAATTTCTGGGAAAAGAAAAACTGTCAAAGTTGGTACAAAAGAAAACAGGAGGACAACTAGTAATTGTGACAGACACTTCTCCCACACACCATTTAGGGACAGTTTAATAGGTGAGTTTGATGGATCTTTAAAGAAACAGTACCTACCTAAAAAAATTGGGGTTGTAGTTCAGCGGTAGTGCGCTCCCCTAGCACAGGCGAGGCCCTGGTTTCGATCCTCAGCACCACATAAAAATTAATTAATTAATTAAAGATATTGTGTCCAACTATAACTAAAAAACAAATATTAAAGAAAAAAAGGAGGATGCCTATCTCACTTCTTTTTTGGGAGGGCGGTCCTGGTTATTGAACTCAGGGATACTTGCCTGGTACCAAAATACCCAGCCCTACCTATTTTGTATTTTATTTAGAGACAGGGTTTCAATGAGTTGCTTAGGGCTTCACTGTTGCTGAGGCTGGCTTTGAACACGCCATCCTCCTGCCTCAGCCTTCAGAGTCCCTGGGATTACAGGCAAGCGCCCCCACGCCCTTTGCCTACCTCACTTCCTAGGCCACTCTCATCTTGATTGTGTGTGTGAACTAGGGTTGAACCCCCAGGGCCACTTTACTCCAATCCTTTTTTATTTGGAGACAAGGTCTCACTGAGTTGCTGAGGCTGGATTCAAATTTGCTATCCTCCTGCCTCAGCCTCCCAATCACTGGGATTAGAGGCCTATGACACCATGCTTGGCTAATCTTGATTCTTAAAGTAGATAAGGATGGCAGAAGAAAAAATATTAAAGGCTCATCTCACTTAAAAACAAATGTGGGGCTGGGGTTGCAGCTCAGTGATAGAGCACTTGCCTAGAATGTGTGAGGCACTGGGTTCAATCCTCAGCACCACATAAAAAAGTAAACTAATAAAGTTTTAGAAAGATTTTTCTTAAAAATACAAATGTGAAATTCCTTCATAAAATGTTGTTAGCTGAATGCACACATATGAAAATGCAGAAGGTTCAAGAATATGTAAAAATATAAGGATGACATCAGAAAAATCAATGTTAATTCCCCACATCATTGAACTAAAGATGAAACCACAGACTCATCTCAATTTTTCATAAACGTCAACATTCCTTTATAATGGAAACTTTAAAAACTAAGAATATAGCCTGGCACAGTGGCACATACCTCTATGCTTAGGAAGCCAAAGGAGAAACATCACAAATTCAAAGCCAGCCTCAGCAACTTGGCAAAACCCTGCCTCAAACAAACAATAAAAAGTGCTGGGGATGTGGCTCAGTAGTAAAGCACCCCTGAGTTCAATCCCCAAGTACCAAGAAATAAAAACTAAGAATAGCTGCTATGGTGGCTCAGGCTTGTAATCCCAGGGGCTTGAGAGGCTGATGCAGGAGGATCACAGTTTGAGGTCAGCTTCAGCAATTATTTTTTTTTCACCTGGTTACATTTTTTTTAAATTTTTATTGTTGGTTGTTCAAAACATTACATAGTTCTTGATATATCATATTTCACACTTTGATTCAAGCGGGTTATGAACTCCCATTTTTACCCCGTATACAGATTGCAGAATCACATCGGTTACAGAGCTTCAGCAATTATTGAGGCCATAAGAAATTTAGCAAGACCCTGTCAAAAAAAAAAAAAAAAAATGGCTATAGATGTGGCTTAGTGGTAAAAGTGCCTCTGGGTCTAATTCCAGTACCAAAACAAACAAACAAAACCCTGAGGATATAAAAATATTTATTTAATAACTATACATATAGAGAATATATACCAAAATCCTATATTCATTATTCTCAGAATAATTCTGAAAATCTTTAGATGGAAACCCTTTAAGATCAATATAAACCAGGTGTGGTGGTACACATCTATAATCTCAGTTACCTGGGAGGCTGAGGCAGAAGGATTCAAAGTTCAAGGCTAGGCTGGGCAACTTAGTGACACACTGTCTCAAAATAAAATGTAAAAAAGGGCTAAGGGTATATGTAGCTCCATGATAGAGCACCCCTGGTTCAATCCCCAGTACTGCAAAATAAAAAGGAAAAAAAAAAATAGGAAAAAACTAATGGGGAAAGATTGATTGTTTAATCTTTGGGGGAGCTATATGGAGAAAAGTTAAGCTGGATCTACACCTTAAGTGTACTAAGTTGGTTTCCCAATGGATTACAAACATAAATGTGGAAAGTAAAATTAAAACAAGAATAGGATAAAACACAGTAAAGTATCCTGATGACATCGGACAGAGCAAAAACTTCCCCAAACCACAAAGCTCAAGGCAAAACTAAAAAAAAAGCTAATATTATTACTTTAAATTTATTTCTATTTAAACAGATGTCATTTAATTTAATAGATGGTACACTAGAAGAGATCTGCAATTTAAACTTGAAAAATGACTCACATCTAGAATACACAAGAACTCTTGCAAATCTTTAAGAGACAAAAATAAAGGAACTCAATAGAAAAGTTAAAAAATGTATATATATATATGTGTGTGTGTGTGTGTGTGTGTATATATATATATATATATATATATATATATATATATGTGGCTGGATAGTATTGGGGTCATCAAACTCACTTGGAATCCATGAAAGGAAAATTGAAACAATGTGATGTGTCTTTGTTTACACATCTGGTTCAAAAAAAAAAAAAACAAGGGAACTCTGTGTCACTCAGTGTGGACAAGGACATGGCAAACCAGGAATTCCCAAGCACTGCTAATGAGAATGTGAGTGGCATAAGGAGCCCCAAAAGGCAGCCTGGTGTGGATGGTGGCATATCCTATGATATCCTATGAACCAACAAACCCTTTGCAGGTGGGTAACCCAGAGGAATTTTTGCCTAGGTCCATAGAGACTGTGGAAGCAGATACTCAGTGCAGCCCTGTTTGCAGCAATGGAGACTAAGAGACAACATGGAAGTTCATCATTAGGTGATGTGTAAATAGAATGTAGGGAGTGCAACCTGAAGTATATATTCTACAGCAGCTGGGAACAAAGAACCAGCTACACATAGCAAGAGGAGATCCCAAAAGGAAGAGTTGCATAAAAAAAAAATTAAATGGGACTTACACTGAACTACATGCTACAGTTTGCATGTTAAATATCCCCCAAAGAGGAGGGTGTTGTGGCACATGCTGGTAATCCTAGTGACTTGGGAAGCTGAGGCAGGAGGATTGCAAGTTTAAGGCCAGACTCAGCAATTTAGCGAGGACTGAAGAGCCTTAGACTGTTGAGTTCCTCACGACTAAAACACTCAGGGTCACTTGAGGTGAATTGGGCTGCACAAAATAACTACATAAGAGACAGAGATACCTTTTTCTTTGGGGTCCTATGACAGTTCCTCTGACCTTAAGGGGAGGGAGAGAGAGAGAGAGAGAGAGAGAGAGAATTTTAATATTTATTTTTTAGCTTTCAGCGGACACAACATCTTTGTTTGTATGTGGTGCTGAGGATTGAACCTGGGCCGCACGCATGCCAGGCGAGCGCGCTACAGCTTGAGCCACACCCCCAGCCCTCTAGTATGAATTTTCTGAAGTCAAAAAAGGTGTGAGTTTTTGCTGAAAAAGTTCCCACACACATGATATCCATAGGCTTTGACCCATTGGGACCTGCTACCTGACCACTCAGGCCTGGTTCCCACGGAACACCTTGGCTACCTACCCTCTATCCACCAGTGTTTTGTCGTGGCCCATCCCTCTGATGCCTCTGTACCCAGAAACACACATTCCAATTTGTTATATTTCTGGTCTTTCCCTGCTGTGTTGGTTTTCAGGGGTGCTGGCCATTTGCCTGGAACCTTTCTTTTGTGAAAAGAACTTCCTTCTGTCCATTCCTATGATTTTTTTTTCCATGAATGTTCTGCTCCTGCCTCGGTCCTAAAAGCTTGTTGAGACTTAGATGCCTCTGGATTGCCTCTTAGGGAAACTTTCTGAGTCATTGCTTGAAATTCTTTTCCAAAAGATTTTTCCTTTGAAGTTAACTGATGACACTTTGTCTTGACTTGAAAATCTGAAACACAGAAGGGAAATTAAAGGCATGCCTGTGAAAGGAGAAGGAAGGTACAGGTGTCCCCACTTACAATCTCCATGTAGGGATATGTTCTAAGACCTCCGGTGGATACCAGAAACAGGTTAGCACTGAACCCTAAACAGACTATGTTTTTTCCCTTTCATTTTACTGCTGACAACTAAAGGAGCACAGCTGCTCAGTGCCTGCCATGTGCCTTCTAAGAGCCAGACATAGATCCTGGTGCCAGGAGTTCAGTTAGGAATAGAGACCCTGCCCCCACGGAGTTGGCAGCCTAATGGGGAGTCAACAATAGGACATCAGGTTCAGGACAGAGAATTCCTCTCTAGCTGGATGCCCACCCCCCAGACCAACATGCAAACTCCATGCAAAGACTTGGTTTTGCTTAATCTTAACCTCAGCACTTAGAAGAATGACTACACATGGGTGCACTCAATTTGGGCTTACTGATGGAATGAGTGACAGGAATGTTGATGGAATGAGTGAAAGGGTCCTTCTGCTGATGGCATGTTCCAAATGTAGACACAGTGCAGTGTTCTGTTTATAATGAAACCCAAGTCCTAATTGGCCTATCATGTAGACATCGAGAAAATGAGCATCTCACCTGAGCAGCAGCACATGGTGTCACTGTGGACTTGTACTTGGAGGGATAGGGGCAGGAGGGGAGTTGGTAAAGGACTGTCGCGTTTCTCAGGACTAAAACACTCAGGGTCACTCCAGGGGAACTGGGCTGCATGAAATAATCACACAAGAGTCAGAGAGACCTTTTTCTTTGGGTCCTGTGATGGCTCCTCTGACCTTAGGGGTCTGTGGAAAAAGAGAGAGTGAGTGCTGAACTATTTTATTGGGGAGAAGCCACTCAAATGAGGCAAGGGGTCAGGTTTCAAGGAGTTGAGTCCAGCTTCCTGATGTCTGCTGTCAGTAGATTGACTGACATCTAGGAAGGCCACACCCAAAGGCACACCAAGAGAAGAGGACACACAAAGGGCGTTTCCATGGAACATTCTATCCCAAACAGGGCAAAGGGGTAGGATTACAAAAGAACAGGTGAGTGTGGTTCAACCCCAGGGGTATGCCCACTCAGAAGATTGGCCTCTGAGGTGGGGGCAAGGAGACCGAATCAGGAGTCATGGCACTACAGCACCAGACTACAGTGATCTTTCAGATCCCCGTGGTGCATTAGGACTGAAAGGCGTGGTACCTCAATGTGGCTCCCCACAAAGGACAATCAAGGCCATCTGCCCTCCATGCTACATTGCTTGCAGCTTACACACCGCACTTCCCTGGGAAACTTGCTGTCATTCACCTGTACAGGGAGGACCCACAGGGCCACAATCCTTGGCATTCCTCCCCCAGAGATGACCCTGGATCTGAACTCTGGAAACTCTGTTCATCAAAAAGATAACTGTCAGTGCTGGAAAATCAAAGCTGCCCAGCCTGAGGGCCACTGAGGAGAACAGAGGAGAAGGGCCCCAGAGGAGGTTCAAAGAGAAAGGGATTAGAGGATGAGTCCACTAGACACTCCCTATAGAACAAGGGCACTGACCTGGACTGGGGTGTTTGGTCTACTGAGCACCAAGAGAGCCCAGAGACCAGGCACTGGGATGCAGGAACTAAGGCCCCACTATGTGGTGCTCACCCAGAGCCCTCAGGGTATGGTAGTTCTCCAGCATCATGTCCCAGTAGAGCTCTCTCTGCTGTGGGCCCAGGTACTGTGCCTTTTCCAAAGTAAATTACAGAGCAACGTCCTTGAAGGTCATCATGTCCTATAATAATAGGTGCTTGCTGCTCAGAACCCCTCACCCAATCTGAGGGTACAGGTAGAGGCTCTGTGTGCATCTCCCAGCCTTCCAGGTAGATGCTGGGGAAAAGTATTGGTGGGTAGAGGTGGGCAGGGGAAAGGATAACTGTGTGGAAATACTGTACCCTCAAAACTGGGGTCTCTCTCCAAGCCCTGTGATCAGCTCAGCTTGGTGGGAAGGAGTAGCTGGCAAGGTGGGCCTGAATCCAGGGAAGATGCTGTTCTGAGCCCCAAGGGTGTGCTGGGTGAGGGACTCCAGGCTAAAACTGTGAGGCCCAGATGGCAGTTGCTCTCTGAAGGCCAGCTCACCTGAGACTTGGCCACCATGGCTGGGCTCTTCCTGGAAATAACTGACAGTGGGAGGAGTGGTCAGAAGGAAAGCATGGGAGCACATGAAGGCTGGCTGCCCACTAGGCTTAGCACCATCTGCAGTGGCCCTGGGCCAGGCTGTTGGCTGGCTTCAAACTCGTGATCTTCCTGTCTCAGGCTCTCAAGTGCTGGGATCAAAGGCGTGTGCCACCACACCTGGCTCTTTAAAAAAAAAAAAAAAAAAGTATTAATTCATTTATTTATTTTAAAAAATATTTATTTTTTTAGTTGTAGTTGGACACAATATCTCTATTCGTTTATTTATTTTTATGTGGTGCTGAGGATCGAACCCAGTGCCTCACACGTGCCAGGCAATCGCCCTGCCACTGAGCTACAGCCCCAGCCCCCTTCCTTGGATTCTTAAGGCTGTGATGTCACTGCCACTTCTTTCTAACAACACTCTCAGCCTTCTCCCTCTCCCTGTTGCCACTGTCTGGCTCTCTCCTCCCACCAAACCCTCCTACAAGTCTCGACCACTGTGTGGTTACAAATGGGCTGGGAGCTGACCCAGGCCTCCCTGCCCTGCCCCTAGCTTTCACTCCTCCTTAAGCCAAGCCATCTCAAGTCAGGGCCACACACTCAAGAATGGGCTGCTGAGTTACATGGGGGCGTTCCCAAATAAGTGTGTCCTCAATTAGTCACTTCACCTCCCTAAGCCTCGGTTTCCCCACCTGGCACTTGAGAACTGCACAGTTTTAAGTTAGGGACTGAAGGAAATACATTTGGTTAAAGCATTTGCTTTAGGCCAGAGCTGGGCAGGTCTTCCAGAAAAGCATGCTGCTGACAGGGACAACATGTCCTCCTCCCATACCCCATCACCCTACCTTGTGACTCCACCTCCCCGCATCTCCCCAGCCATCTGCTGTACCTGCTGCCCACACCCTAGCCAGTCAGCCTCTGCGTAAGCTCTAGGCCCATCCTGCTGACAGCTCAGGTCCCTGCTGACAGCTCAGCTCAGGGTGGGCCTTCTGCCTCTACCCTTCTCTGCCACAGCACTCCCCCTCTCTGACAAGGTCTCATTTTTTGTTTCCTAAACGCACCTCCTACTTAACTCTCCTCTGTCCTTCAGGTCTCACCTCTAAGATGACCTCTAGCTCAGTACAGGAGGAGTCATACAGCCACAGGCACTGTTCATGTCACCTCAGAGCAGTGGGTCAAGATCAAGAGATAGCTCAGAGCAGAGGGCTGCATGGAAGGTGTGAATAGAGTGTCAGAGACAACACAGCCAGAAGTGCAGGGATAGCAGGACCACCTAGGCAGGGAAGTCTGCACCAGGGTGGGGGCTGCAAGGCACTTTAAGGGAAGTGCTGCAGCCAGGAGGAGATGTTCCCAGGGAGCAGGAGATGGGTTAGAGGTGTGGCCTGCAGTCCTGCCCCTGGTGGCTGAGGCAATGGATGTGGAAGCATGTTATCGAGATGTGTCTGTGGCCTCTGGTCCTGTGGGCCTTCCTTAGCCCCTCTATGCCTGTCTGGCCACTGGGTCCCCTGATCTCAGTCTCCACATCCAGCACTTCCAATGTTGTTTTGGCCTGACTCTAGCTTATCACCTCTCCTGCCTAGGCCATAGTTCCCACACTGCCCCAGGCCTTAACCATTCAGCCACCAGTGTGGCCAAGGCGTCCTCTCCCTTTGGCTACACCCTTGCCATTTTGGGGGGGAGGGTACCAGAGACTGAACTCAGGAGCACTCAACCACTGAGCCACATCCCTGGCTCTAATTTCTAAGGATCTGGCTCCTCATTCTGAGGGCAGTGGAAGATGGTAGTGACATTTATGCTTTAAAAAGATCACGCTATTCTCAAAGTAAGACCTGCTTCCTATTTGCAGAAGAGAAAAAAAAAATGTACTGGCCGTTACTTGCTAATGAGCACCTCTGCCAAGACCATGACTCCATACCACTTGGGATGAAGGGCAGTGAGTGTCAACATGGGTGGGCTCTGGAATGCATCTGTACAAAGTCAGCGTCACAACAACGACAAAAAGCAAGGTAGCATATTCCAGATTAAAAGAGCCTAAAGCAGCTAGGTGTGGTGGCACGCACCTATAATCCCAGCAGCTCAAGAGGCTGAGGCAGGAGGATCTCAAGTTCAAAGCCAGCCTCAGCAATGGCAAGGCACTAAGCAACTCAGTGAGACCCTGTCTCTAAATAAAACACAAAATAGGGCCAGGGATGTGGCTCAGTGGCTGAGTGTCCCTGAGTTCAATCCCCTGTACCCCACCCCCCAAAAAAGAGCCTAAAGAGACACAATCACATGTAATGCACACTGGGCATGGTGGCGCATGTCTGTAATCCCAGCAGCTCGGGAGGCTGAGGAAGGAGGAGCTCAAGTTCAAAGCCAGCCTCAGCAGTGGCAAGGCACTAAGCAACTCAGTGAGACCCTGTCTCTAAATAAAACACAAAATAGGGCCAGGGATGTGGCTCAGTGGCTGAGTGTCCCGGAGTTCAATCCCTGGAACAACAAAAAAAGTAATGTACAACCTTTAATTAGCTCCTGGACTTAAGATAACTATTTAGTCAGTTTTTTTCCCCCCTGCTGTGACTAAAAGACCCAAGAAGAACAATTAGAGGGGAAGTTTATGTAGAGACTCTTGGTTTCGGAGTTCTCAGTTCATAGACAGCCAGCTCCTCAAGGGTCAGGATGAGGCAGAACATCATGGTGGAAGGTTGTGGTGTACAAAAGCAGGTCAGGACATGGCCAGCAAGAAGCAGAGAGAATAAACTCTGCTTTACAAGGACAAAAATATAAGCTCCAAAGACATACCCCCCAATGACCCACCTCCTCCAGCCACACCCTATGTCCTACAGTTACCATCCAGTTAATCCCGATCAGTGGATTAGCACCGATTAGGTTAATGCTCTCATGGCCCAACCATTTCACCTCTGAACCTTTTTGCATTGGCTCACACATGAGCTTTTGTGGGACACCTCATATCTAAATCATAACATTCATTGTAGAGAGCCACAGCCGAGTCAGGATGGCACCTAGCATTTTGCCAGAAGGAGTGGTTGAGAGGTGGAATTAAAAATTAGTAAAAACCAAACCAAAAGGGTGTTAAGTAAATTGCTAGAGGAAGGAGGCATTTCAGTAAAATCAAGAACAGTTAGGGCATACGTTAAGACGATACAAAGGTGTAGCCCATGGTTCATTAAAGAGAGGTTATTAAATATATCACAATGGAACCATCATGGTGAAGATTTAAAAAGGATAGAAAAGGAAAACCCAGGAACTCTGTCAGTTGGCACATTGCCATTGTGGATGATGATACGATTTTGTTTGCCTAGTCCAAAGCTTTCAGTTCAGATTATGGTAGAATACATATTAGATCAGGAAAAAGAGGAGGCCTCTCGAGATAGTCAGAAAGGGGAAGAAAGTTTAGAGCGGAAAAAGCAGGCTGGGGATGTGGCTCAAGTGGTAGCGCGCTTGCCTGGCATAAGTGCGGCCCGGGTTCGATCCTCAGCACCACATACAAACAAAGATGTTGTGTCTGCCGAAAACTTAAAAATATATATTAAAAATTCTCTCTCTCTCTCTCTCTATCTATCTAAAAAAAAAGTTAGAGCAGAAAAAGCCATCAGGGGAAAAGTTACAACAGGAAGCTGCTTCTAACACCGTTCTATTACCAGAGGGCGTAATTCAACCAACAGCTCCACCTATGGAGACAGCGTATGCTGAGTGGCCCTCAACCCCTGTAGTTGATAGATGGAATCCTGAGACAGGACCTCAAAGATTAGCATGCCCTGTATTTGAGGAGGGAGGAGGGCAGCGAAATTACCATGTTTTAGATTTCAAAACAGTGAAGCAGCTGAAAGAGGCCATAACAACCTATGGTCCTCAAGCACCCTTCACTGTAAGCATGGTCGAATCCATTACCAACTTGAACATGACGCCAGCAGATTGGACTAGTATGTGCAAAGCTGTGCTAAATGGAGGACAATGGAAGGTTGCCAATCAGGAATTTTGCACGGAGACGGCTAGGCAAAATGCAGCAGCCGGTTATCCTCAGAGAAATCTAGATATGTTGTTAGGAAAGGGACCTTATGAGGGTCAGCAGCAACAAATTGGATATGATCCTGCCATATACTCACAAATTGCTGCAGATGTGATTAGGGCATGGAAGACTTTACAAGGACATGGAGATTTTCAAGGTCAATTATCTAAGGTAATACAAGGAGCTAATGAACCTTACACTGAATTTGTAGAAAGGCTTATTCAAACAGCTACCAGAGTTTTTGGGGATACAGAACAAGCAATGCCATTAATTAAACAGCTAGCCTATGAACAAGCAAATCGATGGTGCAAGGAGGCCATTAGACCATGGAAACATGAAGATTTAAACACATATATTAAATTATGTAGAGACATTAATGAACAGGGGCAAGTCTTGGCAGCTGAAGTACAACAGGCTTTAGGTGTCAGGCCAAAAACATGCTACAATTGTGGACAAACAGGACATTTTAGAAGGAGTTGCCCCATAGGAGGAGGGTTTAACAAAACTGGATATGATCAATGGGGTAGAATACCGGGTATTTGCCCACAATGCCATAGAGGGAGACATTGGGCTAATGACATCTGCACCCGCACCAGAGCAGTACTAACTCCAGAGATGGGAGTTCAAATCATTCCCACAGGGGTAAAAGGACCTCTTCCCCGAGGAACAGTAGGCTTATTATTGGGACGCAGTTCTTCTACTCTAAAAGGACTTATGATAAGTCCTGGGGTAATTGATCCCGATTAAGAAGGTGAAATAAAAATTATAGCCAGTTCTCCAAGGGGTATATCAGTAATTTCACCAGGAGATGGAATAGCACAGTTATTAATAATACCCAGCCTACATGATAAATTTTCCAGCTGTACTATAGAAAGAGGTTCTGGGGGTTAGGCTCCACAGGTGTAGATTGGGCTATGCTGTCTTTAAATTTAGACTCTCACCTAATGCTAAAACTAAATATTCAAGGACATGAATTTAATGGGCTACTGGATACAGGTGCAGACCTTAGCATCATATCTTGTCAAGAATGGCCAAAACATTGGCCGTTACAACAAGCCACTCAAACACTTCGAGGCCTAGGAGTGGTGACTAATCCCATAGAAGTGCAATGGTATTAGATTGGAAGGATCCTGAAGGATGTGAAAGAACTATACAGCCATATGTATTGGATCATCTTCCTATAAATTTATGGGGATGAGATGTCCTAGATCAATTAGGTTTGACATTAACAAATAACATCAATCCAAATGCACCCACTATTATGGCTAGACAAGGTTTTAGGAAAGGAAAAGTATTAGGAGAAAAAGGACAAAGTATAGTGGCACCAATACAAATAGATCAAGAAATAGGTAGACATGGATTGGGTTTTCAGGATGAGTAACTGAGACAATAAAAATTACTTGGAAATCAGAAAGACCAGTATGGGTTCCTCAGTGGCCCCTGACTAAAGAAAAGATACAAACAGCCCATGACCTGGTCAAACAACAATTAGTGGAAGGACATATACAACCTTTCATATCTCCCCATAATACTCCCATTTTTGTCATCAAAAAGAAATCTGGTAAATGGAGATTATTGCAAGATTTAAGAGCCATTAATAATGAGATGGTTATTATGGGACCTGCTCAATAGGGGATTCCCCAATTGTCTGCTTTGCCGAAAACCTGGTATGTTTTAGTTATAGATATTAAAGATTGTTTTTTTTTCAATTCCAATTCATCCTGAGGATAGTCCACGTTTTACATTTACTATCCGTGCACTGAATCATGAAGGTCCCAATCAGAGATATGAATGGAAAGTACTCCCTCAAGGGATCGCTAACAGCCCAACTATGTGTCAAATTTATGTTAACAAAGCAATTCAGCCACTTAGAAATCAAAATCCTGAACTACAAATATTTCACTATAAGGACAATGTATTATTAGCACACAAAGATAAAAACACATTGCTAGAATGTTATGCCACACTTACAAACTTATTAAAAAATTATAATCTAGAAATAGCAATAGATAAAGTACAATTAAATTTTCCAATTAATTATTTAGGAGTTCTATTATCCTCAACCATGGTCCGTCCACCAAAAATTCAAATACGAGTAGATCAACTCAAATCACTTAACGGCTTTCAAAAGTTATTAGGAGACATAAATTGGATAAGGCCTTATCTAGGCATACCAACAGGAGAATTGGGACCTTTATGTGATTCCCTAAAAGGTCCATCAGATCCAAATTCACCCCGCATGTTAATGCCTGAAGCAAGAAAGACATTAAAAAATCATTGAAACATATATGGAAAATATGCATTTGGATAGAATTGATATAAGTTTGCCTTTATTATTTATTGTACTACCAACAAAAAATGTTCCTACAGGAGTATTTTGGCAAGAAGGTCCATTATTATGGATACATTTATCTTATTCTCCTAACACTATTCTTACTAGGTATCCTGAGGCTCTAGGACAATTAATACTCAAAGGAATAAAAGCAGCAAAGTGAGTGTTTGGAATTTCTCCCAATAAAATTATTACTCCATATACAATGGATCAAATTGATGAGTTAGCTAATGAGTTAAATACTTGGGCAATAATAATGTGTAAATCTAATGTTTCATTTGATAATCACTTACCATCTAATCCTTTGTTGTCTTTTTGGTCTTCACATCCTGTAGTTTTTCCAAAAATGACAAGAAAAACACCTATCATGAATGCTCCAAATATATTCACTGATGGGTCAAATAATGGTACAGCAGCTGTAGTTACCCCTGATCAAACTTTTACATTTTTAGTACCCAAACAATCAGCTCAAAAGGTAGAGCTTAATGCAGTATTACAAGCTTTTGTGATGTTTAAAGATTCTGTATTTAATTTATTTTCTGATAGTCAGTATATAGTTAATGCTATAGTATCCCTTGAAGATGCTGGTAGGATTTCCCCTTCCTCTACTGTTTTCTCTTTGTTTTCCACTATACAAATTCTAATCTGGGACAGAAAAGATCCAATCTTTATAGGACATGTCAGGGCACATACAGGATTGCCTGGAGCCCTTAGTTTGGGCAATGATTTAGCAGATAAAACTACACATGACATACATATTTTTTTCTATGCTAGAAGAAGCTCCAAATTTTCATAAATCCTTCCATGTCAATGCAAATACTTTTAAAAAGCATTTTAAAATAACTAAGGAACAAGCTAGACAAATAATAAAACAATGTCAAAATTGTGTGACCTTTTTACCACAAGTTAATCTTGGAGTCAATCCTAGAGGACTGATACCTAACCATATTTGGCAGATGACGGGTAAGGACCATATGTAGTATTGGACAACCTAAGACAGGCAGGGTCCCTAAGCCACATGCTTGTTGTTTAATTAAACAGAAGTGGGGAGATGTTGAGAGCCACAGCTGAGTCGGGATGGAGCCTAGCATTTTGCCAGGAGTGCACGAGCCATTAAGATGATGATAATTAAGTTAAGCTGTGTATAATTGCTGTGACTGGATGATGCTGGATTGAAACAGGCTGTGTATTCAGTTGTATATAGACTCCTGCTGCCTCGGCCCCTGCTACTTTGGAATTCCCATTGAGTTCTGTTGAGTTCTCGTGGAGCCCTGTTGAGGGCCGAGAGAGTTCCCAGGGAGAGTGCTTGGAGTGTGGTGAGAGTGTGTGGAGTGTGGTGAGAGTTTGGGCAATAAAGTAGTTCCTGTTTGAACCTACAAGTGCCTCGTGGCGGCTCGATTATTTTGTGCCCAGCCAGACTGCGGCAATTCATGAAGACCAAAAATTATTGTTTTAGCAATAGGAAGTAGACATATATACAAAGACATAATCAAGGTAAAAAATGTCAACCCCTGCATTCTAGGTGAAAGTTGTATGGTGTGCATTGTAGTATTATTTTTTTTTCAAGTTTTCTATGGGTCTGAACATTCTCAAAATTAAAAGTGGGAGCTGGGAGTGGTAGTGCATGCTTGTAAGCTCAGTGTCTCAGGAGACTGAGGCAGGAGGATCTTAAGTTTAAAGCCAGCCTCAGCAATTTGGCGAGGCTCTGTCTCAAAATAAAACATAAAAAAGGGCTGGGGGATGTGGCTCAGTGGTTAAGCACCCCTGGGTTCAATCCCTGGTACCAAAACAAAACAACAACAAAAAATGAAAAGTGGGAAAAATAGAAAAGATTGCTCTAGCTACTTGCAGATAGCAAGGTAGGATAGGTTGGGACAGTGATCAAGGGGCTGCTGCCCACACTCCGTATCTCCAGCTGGAGGTACCTCCTGTCATCAGCACCCCTGGCACATGTTAGGCCACTGTCACTAAGAGGAGGGTCCTGCCTGGATCAAAGGACCTCTACCTGTGTCACTGTTAAGGCCGTCCCCCTATAGACCTCTCCCAGTGATCTAATCCAGGTGGGAGATGGGCAGAGATCTGGGGAAAAAATACAAGACATAGAAGAAAAGAAGTTAAAACAAAAAAAAAAAAAAAAAAAGAGGGGGTAGCCCCTGGCACCCTTAGGTGGAAGGAGTGAATAAATTAATGATTTTCTCTCACCTCTTCTTCTTAGTATTGGAAGATAGCCCAGAAAGACTCCAAAGTGAGCAGTACTGCTGGACTTTTTGGATGCAAAAATCCAGAAATCAGGGCCCAGAATGAGGCCAGTGGTGGGGGTCTCACGCTCCCTAGGCCCTCACTACTCACAGTCTACAGAAGATTCACGTGTTGAAGATACTCCCCACCCGCAGTAGACCACGCCCACTCCCTCCAGACCACGCCCCTAGCCACGCCCCACACTCTCCACAGACCGCACCCCTTGATCACATACTCAGTTCATCATAGTCTCCTGACCCTGTGGCCCCTCGCCAAGGACTCTTCGCAGTGCCACACCTTGGTCCCCAGCTCCCACAGGGGTAGCCCCAAGATTCCGCCCCTGTGCGGACCCCCCATCCCGGTCCGCCGCGCAAGCGCCTGTGGGGATCCCGAGGCCTTCAGGCCGTCCGAGAGACCGCCGCACTAGCCCGGCAAGGAGTGGCCAGTGGGCCACGGGCCGGAAGTGTGGCCTGCCCTGCCGCTCTAGGTCTGGGAAGACCGAGGTCTCGGTGGTTCCAGACCCTGGCTGGTTCCCTGGGGACTAGGAGCGGATGTGGGAAGGTGAACCCCACGCTCTTCCCCTCCTCCTTTCCTGGAGGTACAGTCCTGAAAAGATCCGGCGGTGACCTAAGGTATCTACAGGGGTGGGACTTAGAGTTCCGTGCTGTTGGGCACCCTTTGGAGGCCGGTACGTTGGCGCCTTGGTCGAAAGAGTAGGTAAGGCGCCGGGTGCGCGCCGAGGAGCGTGGAGTGCCGGAGGACGCGGCCTCGGTCTTCTCAGGAAGGAAGGTTGAGGTTCCCCAAGGAGGAATTCTGGCCCCTTTTCCTCCGAGCCAAGCAAGCCCCCTTCCTGGATGACCGTGGTCCTGGACAGCGGGGGGTGTTCCAAGGTGGAGGTGAAGGATGAAGACCTCCGCGGAGGAGGCGCCCCCGGCCGGAGCCGAGGAGGTGAGGCCAAGGCGCGTAACCTCGGCGACTGCGAGGCAAGGAGCCCGCATCTGGCATGGCGCGCCTTCCCTGGCTTCTCTGAAGCCCGCGTTAAGTGGTCAGCGAGCAGCCGGAGGAGGCGGCGGGCGGGGGGGGTGTCGTTTTTGGTATTGGGGATTGAACCTACAGACGCTTTAGCATTGAGCTCCATCCCAGTCTTTTTTATTTATTTGGAGACAGAGTCTTGCTAAATTCCTGAGGCTGGCCTTGAACTTGCGGTTCTGCGATTACAGGTGGGGTTTTAAGGGGCATGCCAGCACAGGGGAGTAAGGGTAGCCTTTGCACAGCGGACAAGTCTGACGCTGGTCCTGAGTCGGCTGAAGAGTCGGTGGGATTTTTCTAGGCTCAGGGACTTGGCAAGAAAGTGCAGTGGCCTGAGTCTTGAATACTGCTGGCCTAGAGTTCAGGATCCTTCAGAGGCAAAGAGAGAGGATTGAGAGGATAGGAGGGATTGGTTGGGCTTGGAAAAAAGAACCAGAAACGAGTGAAGAAAGATCAATCCAAAAAAAGAGGTTTTGGTTTTTCACTCAAAATAAAACCTGTGAAACAAGGAGAATAGATAGGACAAAATAGTCTGGTTGGACATGGTTAGCCCTTCATCTGATGAAGAGGGAGTGGGTAAAATTTAAGAAGCAAGACAAACTTAAAACTACTGGGCATGGGCTGTGGCTGTGGCTCAGTGGCAGAGCGCTTGCCTAGCACGTGTGAGGCACTGGGTTGTATCCTCAGCACGACATACAGATGAATAAATAAAGGCATTGTGTTCATCTACAACTGAAAAAAAAAAATTAAACAAACAAACTGCTAGGCATGTTTGAAAACAGCCAGAGTCAGAGTTTGATGAATGATCTCATGGATCATTAATATTAGTCTTCTGCAAGATTGGAAGAGTAGTGAAGGGTAGTCCTGAAGCATGTGGGTTTTAAGCCTGACTGCCTGCTGTCCAGTTTGGGCAAAATGTTTAATTACTGGGTGTCCCATTTTTCTCATCAGGAAAGTAAGGATATTAATGTTAATAGCATTAATGTTTCTGAGGTACAGATGTTTTGTACTCATTGAATTATTTCAACTCTCCAGTCTTTATTGAGTGGGACCACATAACTAGCCTTTCAAATGTGAGACAGCCATGTGCACCACTTCCTTCAGTCCTCCAGCCCTCTCAGACCCTGCTACAGCAGTCTCCAGGAGCTTCATAGTGGCAAGGCCATAAAAAGGAAGTCTCTGAGTCCCTGAATCACTACGGCACAGAGCCACCCCCCAACACTACCCAGCTTGTGCTGGATTTTACAGGAAAAGTAAATTAAAGCATTTACAGTTTTTTTTTTTAAATTTTATTTATTACTGCAGCCCAATCTAGCCTATTGCAGTTACCATATTTCATTAATTCTAATGTACACATTTTTATTTCTTAATATCTGAAATTGTGACATGTTACCATCAGTTGCTTCTTGTCATCACTGTCAGCCAAGATTAAAATCAAGTTCTTCCAGCATTTATTTCTGCATACTACTTGGGAACACCACCATCTATAATTCTTTTAATTAAGTCTATACTTTTTAAAAAATATTTTTCAAGTTGTTGATGGACCTTTATTTTTTTCATTTATTTATATGTAGTGCTGAGAATTGAATCCAGTGCCTCGCATATGTGAGGCAAGCGCTCTACCACTGAGCCACAACCCCAGCCCGTAAATTCTCTACTTTTAAGACAAGTTTAATTAGGGATAATTCTGATATAATAAAACACATCCATGGTGAGGACACAACTCAATGACTGTTAGTTAAGTTGAAACGATCCTAGGTGCACCCCTATAATCCCAGCAGCTCAGGAGGCTGAGGCAGGAGGATCTCAAGTTCAAAGCCGGCATCAGCAATTTCGTGAGGTCCTAAGCAACTCAGCAAGACCTTGTCTCTAAATAAAATATAAAAAAGGGCTAAAGATGTGGCTCAGTGATTAAATGCCCCTAGGTTCAATCCAGTACCAAAACAAAAAACAGAAACAAACAAACAAAACCCCACAAAACAAAAACCTGATCCTAGTTTGAGGGCACTTCTGCCAACCCCTTGCATCTAGCCTGGGTCTACCTCTATTCTACCCACTTCCTGTCTGAAGATTTGCTTTCAATAGAAACTTCATGGAGCTGGAATCATGACAGTACAGATGTACTGCACTCCATATATGCATTCAACCTGTACGACTTCATTTTAGTATTTATTGTAATACGTTTTCTAGCAACAACTTCACTTCATCTGTATTCATCTAGGAATGTATTTATTTTCCCTTCAATTTTGAAAAATAGTTTGAATATGGAATTTTTGGCAGTTTTCCCTTTCTTTGATCATGTCATTCTACTGTCTTACCTCCTCCATAGCTTTAGGTATGTTGTTAATCCTGTTGTCATCAATAATCAGTTGTTAATCCTGTGTCATCCCATTGTGATGAGTAACTCCTCCCCTCAAGGAGTGGTTTTCCTGTCAGGACAGAGTTTCTTAAATCTACAGAGAGTGTGTTTCGCGGGGGGTGTGAGGTATCGTTCGCATAGAGCATGAGTTGACAGTGGGAAGTCAGTTTTGGGAGGAGTGATTCTTCTCCTATACAGGCAGCACCTTGGAAGAGGGCTCTGCATTTCATTTTCTTGCACCTGCTCAGATCAAGTCAATCTGACCTACACTTAGAGTCAAGTTGAAACCTTGACATGCACATGCAGGTCACTTCAGGCTGGCTGCCTGCCTCTCCTCCTGGACACCAGCCAGTCACTACTCTGTAATGGGAGGAAGGCACAATCCTGACCTGCTCAACCACTAGCGGTTGTTTGCTGAACGCAGGTCACTGAAGGGCCAATTTGCCAAGACACCTTGACCTGATTTGTGAATTTGTGATTTGATTTGTCCACACCATTGTTTTTAGATACAATCTTCCTAACTGCATTCTCCAAATGCAACTATATTATTCCTGTAAATAGATCTCCTGAATGAATTCAGTGAATAGATTCTTCTAAAAAATGGGACCATGTTCCTTTTTAACACTTGACAGAACAATTCACCAAATCCACTCATGTCACATTCAACTGGCAAAGAAACATTTGGAATGAGTTTGAGACTAGAAAGCTGCCAATGTTGATTGCTGTTCTGCTGCAAGGGGAGGCCAGATGGACTGTTCAACACCACTGAGAAACTTCAACTTTTATTGCTTTTGAAATAATGTATCTTTATCAAAGCTTGGTAACCTGTTGCTAAATCTTTTCCATCCCCATGGGGATGGATACAATGTTAAAGTCACCATAGTACCACTGTCATGCTGACTTGCCCCATCATCATCTGAACTTTGTCTCAGAAGCATTCAGAATTTGGTTTTATGAGAGCATTTAACCTGCAATTTATATTATTAATTTTACTGCTTTTCACAGTTCCCATTACACTAAGCAATGAACTCAGGAGAACACACCTCCTTCTTTGCTGAGTAGAATCCCCTGGTGTTCGTGTACTGAAGGGTGAAATTCCAGGGAGCAGGAAGCCGCATCCCATTATCAGTAAGGGAAAATGAATGACATCCCTCTGTGGCACATACTTCAGGTTGCTCTCCCTCCACACACTAGGAGGGTCTTATTTACAAGGTAGCAAATGCCAGGGTTGAGTAGCACAATGGGGCCTTTCAGACTAAGCCACTTGTGTAATAGTTTTCTCTTGCGTAGAAAACAGTCATGTAGGGGCTGGGGTTGTGGCTCAGTGGTAGAGCGCTTGCCTAGCATGTGTGAGGCACTGGATTCAAATCTCAGCACCACATACAAATAAATAAGTAAATAAAGGTCCATCAACAACTAAAAAATATTTAAAGAAAAGAAAACAGTCATGTAAGTAGCAGGTAGCATCTGTTTTCTTTGTTTTAGGAGAATTTTTTTTTCAGACAATTTTTAAAATTTGTTCTTATTAGTTACACAAGATAGTAGAATGTATTTTGACATATTTTTCATATATGGAGTATAACTGTTAAACCATGATGCAAAGAAAAGACCACTGACTCCAATTTTAAATCAAATTAAAGCAAGCTTATATTGTGTACCCAAATAGAGCTGGCCAGTGGCTGTCTCACCCAAGGCTTTGAGCGTGCTAAACAAGCCACTCTATCACTGAGCTATACACCCCCCAGCCCCTTTCCTACCTTCTTAGATAATTCCTTAATCATGTGGGAGGATGCAAATGATTAAGATCCTAAGTCAGCTCCTCCTGAGAGTTGCACACCCCACCATCTGTCCCTGGCCATGCTTTTGCCTTCTCCAGGGTCTGTTGGTGCAGACTCAACTCAGGCTATTGGTTCTGCTGCAGATTGCTCTATCAAATGTTCAGCTGTGTTAGATGTGTATGACTGTAAGTCACACAAAAGTAGCTACTCATGACTTTTAACCATGACAATTGTTTGAGTTCTCATCCGGAGAGAAATACAAATTAAAACTACATTCAGAGCCAGGCATAGTGGTACACTGCTGTAATCCCAGCAACAAGCTGAGACCAGAGGATCTCAAGTTCCAGTCCAGGCTCTGTAATTTAGAAAGACCTTCAGCAATTTAGTTCTCACTGGACCCTGTCTCAAATTAAAAAATAAAAAAGGGCTGGGATGTAGCTCAGTAGCAATGTGATGTGTCCCTGGGTTCATTCCCTAGTACCTCCTCAAAACCCAAACACCTAGTTTCCCCATTAATGGGTGTGGCACTGTTATTTGTCAACACGGGGTGTGGGGAAAGCAACTTTTTGTCCAGCTAGTGGCAGAATTGGGGCAGGGCTCATGGCCAGTTGGGCACACTTGGGTAGCAAGTCTCAGCATGAATACTGCCAGACACTGCCCCAGCAATTCCCCTTCCCCCAAGTGTTTAGGCATACAAATAAAACGTGTATAGGATTTAAACGTGTCTGTGTTCGTGGAAGATTGCCAGTGACATACATCCTCAGGCCTTTAATTTTTTTTATTTTGGGCTGGGGTTGTGGCTCAGCTGTACAGCGCTCCCCTCGCACGTGCCAGACCCTGGGTTCGATCCTCAGCACCACATAAAGATAAATAAGTAAAATAAAGGTATTGTGACCAACTACAACTAAAATACATATATAAAGTTTTTTATTTTGACACAGGGTCTCCCTGAGTTGTGAAGGCTGTCCTCGAACTTGCCATCCTCTTGCCTTAGCCTCCCGAGTCGCTGTGATTACAGGGGCGCCTCTGCACCCAGCACAAGTTAATTATATTTCAATAAAGCTTATAAACGATTCTAAAAGAGCTGACGTCTCATTTTCCAGGTGGCAAAGCAGAGGCAGTCTGGAGGACAGGGGGAGGGCCTGCTGACCAGTGTCTGGGCTTCTGATTGCTCCAGAAGGGTTAAGAACCGGCCAGAGCTGGTTCACCTACTCATTGGACCCCAGCTCTCCCGGGAAGGGATACTGGAAGGCAAGGATCTGATGGGGGCCGACTGTCGAGGCTCAGAGGTGTGATCCAAAGGCCAGGGTGGCCCAAGGGAAAGCGAGCCCTCTAAGCCTATGAGCAAGTGCTCAGGTAGCTTACAGCTCCGTGTATGGGGTCTGGGGGCAGGACCACGGGGGTCTGGGTGTGACTCGGGTTATTCACTGTCCTGAGATGCAGGCCAGGGGGCGTGGCCTGGTGCAATGGATGGGGCGGACCCTGGGATGCTGGGTGTGGCCAGAAAGGGAACTTGAACCACGACTGGAATCAGACTTGAGCCGCAGGGGCGTGGCCAGGGGTGGAGAGGGATGCGGGCCTGAAGGGCGTGGCTGGGGGAAGCCACCACTAAGGAAGCACTAAGTGCTGGGCGCTGGGGCGGAGGGCGCAACCTGGGGCGGCCGAGGGTAGGGCTGGACCCGTGGAAAGTGAAGTCCTGGAAGGAGCGCGAGGGGTCGAGGGCGGTGACCCTGAGACGGTGGATGTGGCCAGGGCTGGAGGCATGGCCCTACAGGCCGGTGTGCTGGCAGTCCCGGTAGCGCCCCGGAGGAGAGGAGAGGCGGCCGAACAGAGTGGGTCTGGCGGTTCTGCCCGTCTGGTCTCCGTGGATCCTTCTGGGGGCACTGCCCCCACTGTTCTGTGTGCAGTGGGTGTGCCTGACAGAATCAAGGGTGTAGCAGGCTGGGGGCGAGGTCCTGTCTCCACCAGGATGTCCCATTGCGCCGCACTTAGACTGCCCTCCCTTCCTTGGAACCTTGGCAGGCCACGGAGACGAGTGGGAAAATTGAGGACCTGATACTGACCTTGCCGCCTGCCCAACCGGAGGCGAGGTCCCACCTGCTGAATCTTGCTGCACAGGGCTGCTCCAACCCCTGCTGGCCCACATCTTCTGCCGCCACCGCCACCGCTGGCCTTGGTGAGGCTGCAGTGGGCTTTGGAACCCGAATCCACTGGTTGGCACCAGACCCTCTGTGGAAATCAGGCCCTGCTCTGAGTTACTCCATGAGATATGGAACAGTAGTTTTCAAGCATTTCCTAGCTCTCAGTTACTCCATTTTGAAAAGCAGCAGTTTGCCATGAGTTACCCACCCCCCCTTTTTTGAGTTTTTTTATTTTTGTTTATTTTTTTAAGATTTTTTTTAGTTGTAGATAGACACAGTACTTTTATTTTACATATTTATTTTTATGTGGTGCTGAGGAGTGAATTCAGTACCTCACATATGCTAGGCAAGCACTCTACCACTGAGCCACAACTCCAGCCCTGAGTTACCCATTTAAAAAAATATATTACTTTCTAGTTGTAGCTGGACATAATACGTTTATTTTAATGTGGTGCTGAGGATCAAACCCAGTGCTAGGTGAGTGCTGTATCACTGAGTCCCAACCCCAACCCCAACCCCTTGAGTTACCCATTTTAAGTGCTAAGTTAGAATGACTCTATACCTTGTTTGTACAGATAACCCCCATCTACCTAGCACTACCATAGGTGCAAACTGATATATAAAAAGAGACACCCCCCCCCAAGACTGGAAATGGCAACACACTGACCCTATTACTTGATCATTCCTCATGAGCCCTGCCCAGGAAAATTGCCACAGCAAGATTCTCTTACTTTCTTTCCCAGGAACTTCAGCTCCTTTGGTTTCTCCTGTAGGCAAGGACTTCAAGCTGACACTATGAAACTGCCTGCCTTCCATACCTGTGCCTAGGGTAAGTTCTGACCTCTGGCCCATGACAGATCTGACTATCTGCAGTGATGCTTTTGTATTTTCATCTGCTCCCTGCCCATTTGCTCGGTGAAGTCTCCTGTAATCCGAGGCTGCCTTAATTTAGTCTTTCTGTATTTGTTTAAAGTGTGGTATGTTACTTGCACCTTATAAATGTTAGTAATTAAGACTGTAATAAAATAACCTGTGATCACCTGGCTCATGACTACCAAATGACTGACCCACGAGTATTCAGTGAATTGAAACCGATGAAGGTGTGAGTTTATTGTTATTCAGTAAATTCTGACATTGTAGAAAGACACAAGTGGTGTCTGACCTATGCTGACTGCATGACTAGGTCAAGACAACCTCCTACACCGGGTCGGTTGCTCTGAAGTCACTTTCCTTCTTCAGGGTGGAGCTGGGATCCTTGGCAGGCTGACTCTCGGAAAAGCAGCCTTCCCAATTCCAGGAGGAGTGTCCAGGGCTGGGCTCTGCCAAGCTAAGAGCAGCCTCTAGAGGGCCGGACCCAGGGCCCTACGCCAGAGTGACTAAGGACTCCTCCGGGCTCAGCTTCGGTGACCACCGACTTGAAGCCCTCCTGATGTCCTAGAGCGGCGCCCCGGAGGTGGGGGGGAGGGAGCGGCTGCTTCCGGGGGCTCAGGACTGGGGGCGGGGACGGACACTCCCGGAGGGTGTACCTCCCGGCGCAAGCAGAGCGCGCAGTGGGTTTGGAGCCTTCGGGCTCCAGCTCTGGGAAGAATGTGAGGCGCTCAGAAAGACGGGCCAGGGAAGGGCTGGGGCGGTGGTCGCGGTCTCGGGAGCCCCGCAGGGGGGCTAGACTAGCTCTAGGCAGTCCGAAGGTTCCTTAGCAGATGGATGGTTTAGCCAGTATTTTCACCCTCCTTTAGTCTGTTTTAACCCCTCCCAGCAGTGGGAGTAAAACTCCTTGTCTCCGCCTCTGCCACGGAGCTACATTCCCAGCTGTTTTTACTTTCTGGATGCTACTGTTTGCCGCACAGAAGTTCTTGATATTGAAGTAAATTGTACATATTGTGTACATACTTATTATAGCTTATATTAGTAATGTACACAATTATGTTAAAAGTACGTATGTTATGAGTGGTCTGAAATGGAGAAATCTAGCCCATCAACGTGCATGATCTCACTGTGAGGTGAGAACACCCTAACATCCATTCTGGCAGGTTTTTTTTTTTTTTTTAATTTTTTTTTTTTTTTGTTTTCGGGGGTGACAACATCTTTGTTTGTATGTGGTGCTGAGGATCGAACCAGGCCGCACGCATGCCAGGCGAGCGCGCTACCGCTTGAGCCACATCCCCAGCCCCATTCTGGCAGTTTTTAAGAACACAATACATTGTTAACAGTAGTCACCAGGTTGTACAACAGACCTCTCCAGTTTTCCTCCTAACTGGAACTTTGTATCCTTTTACTAATTTCTTCCTAAACCTTTTAGTTTGAACTAATTTCAAATTTATAGAACAGTTGTAATAAAGCAGAAAATTCTCAAATAACTATTCAGATTCACCAGTTTTTTTTTTCTTGGAGGGGTTACTGTAAGATCCTTACATTGATGCCCAAACCTGGGACGGGGGATCTCCCCGTCACCCAAGGCAGAACCGGCTCCCAAATTCTGAGCCCAACTGTTCCTGTCGTAGTCCACTCCTCTGATCACCTGCCTGACATCCACCACTGACTCGCGGATCGGTGAGTTCCCCCATCCCATGAGCGCCTGAACCCTAACTCACCAGAATGAGGGAATTGACCGTTGAGTGTCCGGCAATCCCTCCGGGAGTTTTAGGGGTAAATGCACCCCACTCAGACCCGTCTCTCTATCAAAGGGTAATAAGGCCCACTGCCCACCAGTCTCAAGGCATCACTTTTATGTGGGACAACTGTATACCGCTGTCTGCCCCCTGACTGGAAACAGGCACATGTATTCTTGTTCTCCTGTTTCCCTATAAAGACAGTTCCAGGAGATACAGAAATACCAATCCCTCTCATGACACACATAAGACCCAAAAGGGCGATCCAGTTCATACCTCTCCTCACTACTTTAGGAATTACAGCAGGCTTGCCAATGGCTACAGCAGGTTTGACTGCCTCCTCACATACTATAATCCATTGTCCAAATCATTCATAGATGACCTCCAGCAGGTGATTGAGCCCATACTTACCCTCCAAAATCAATTAGATTTCTTTGCAGCAGTAGTCCTACAAAACCACCAAGGCTTAGATCTACTCACAGTGGAAAAAGGAGGCCTCTGCCCATTCTTACAGAAAGAATGTTGTTTTATGTTAATCAGTCAGGGATAGTGAAAGATAAGATTAAAAAACTACAGGAACAACTAGAAAAAAGAAGGCTGCAATTGGTACAACAATCCTATTGGGACCTCTTCACAAACCCCTTATCTGCTGGAGTCTCCCGATGCTAGGACCTCTAGTTGGGATCTTTTTATTCTGTGTCTTCCTTCTTTGCATTTTAAATTCCTTCAAGGACAAATTAACAAAATCTCTAACCAAACTTTCAATCAGTTCCTCCTCAGGGATTACCAGCTACTTGCCAATGAGCTGGACAACACTTATGTCTACTCATACTGAAAAGCCTCCACCAAGTGCTGAAAGACGAAGATACCAAATGACAACTCCACCGAAGGGCCATCTCTACCCCACCATTCCAAAGAAATAAGCCCTTGGTTTTTAGCCATATATGTTCTAACCTGCCTTCTCCTGAGCATAGGTCTTTTTATCTACCAGCCCTGGATGACATGGATGACATGCCAGAAATTAATGCTGTCTCTTTTGTTCCTTTTCGTAGCTGCAGATTTGTGGCTGGCACTGTACCTCTGATCCTCCTCTTAGTGAAGATGACACCTGTTACCCTCCGATGCATGCAATTCTTACAAGCCCTATGGGAAGATAGTTGGCTTATCTCTCCCCCTGGGCCACCCCAATGAATGGCTCATTATATCCAACAATTTGTGGTTGCAGGGCACGTTCATGGACTTCTCCCTGGAGGAAATCCATGCTTTCAGCACATGGATGTGGGGCCTCCTGGCCCTCCTTCTCCAACCAACTGACCTCCCTCCCTCTAAACAACACCCCTACTCAGCAGGAAGAAGCCAGAACTAGTATGATGCCCCCAAACCAAAACAAAAAAGGGAGGAATGTTGGTAAAGATGGTGCCCGAAGTGCATCTCTTCCGGGAGTTCAGGTCCATGATGCACTGAATGGCGTGAACTACCACCTAAGTGGCACAAACCATCACCTCCAATCCCTGAAACGGCGCAAACTGTGACCTCCCACCCCTAGGAGACTAATACCCTGTCCTGCCCAGAAATGGACCCTTGGTCAATAAAGAAGTAACAGCCAACTCCCCATGCTCATTCTCTCTCTCTCTCCCCCACTTCTTCTCTTCTGTGACCGGCTGCTACGGTCCCACTAATAAAATCTTGGACAGGTAAATGGTTGTTTGGCTTGTTAAATTTACGGAGCTTTCCCGCCGCTCCTTACAGTTACCAGAGATTGAACCGAGGGGTACTTAACCACTGAGCCACATCCCCAGCCCTTTTTACTTTGAGACATGGTCTCTAAATTGCTGAGGCTGACCTTGAACTTGTGATCTCCTGCCTCAGCCTCCTGAGATCCTGGGATTACGGGCTGTGCCACTGCACTGAGCCAGATTCAGTAATTCTTCATTTTTGCTATATTTATAATTTCTCTTTTTTCCTTCCTGTGTGCCTTCTCTTCCCTGCTTTTCTTCTTTTTGGTGGTGGTGGTCAGGGGAGCATTTTTTTTTTTTTTCCTGTGGTGCTGGGGATTGAACCCAGGGCGTTGTGCATGCAAGACAAGCACTCTACCAACTGAGCTATGTCCCCAGCCCTATTGTTTTAAAAGATCTGATTCTAGATGTTTTTAATCACTCCACATGCTTGTTTGATGTTCCCGTTGAACTCTGGTCACCTTGGCCTCCCAGCTCCATCTTCTTGAGTCAATTCTGTCAGGTGCCTCCTGGTGCCAGTGGGTGGAGTTTTTTCTAGCTTCACCTTGATACAGCAGGGATAGCTCTTTGGGGCTGCAGCTTCCACTGCCACCCTAGAATCACCCCAACTTCATCATCTCTGCAGAGGCTGTAAGCAGACCTCACAGCTGCCAAAGCACCAGTTTCCAGGCGTGGCACTCTTGAGTTTCTTTATTTTTTGGTTATACATGATAGTAGAATGTATTGTGACATACAATACATACATGGGAGTATAACTTCCCATTCTTGTGGTTATACACAGAGTTTCTTTTGTCCTAATTTTTAACCATGGGGGTGTCCCCTCACTGTCTGGATGCTCAGCCAACCTGCTGTGGATCCTGCTAACATCTTAGTTTCAGGGTCTATAGTAAATAAAGGCCAAATTAGGCCAGCCCTGCCAAAATCTTCCCTCCCCCACAAACATGGTATGTTTGGGCATTTTGAGAGGGACCTCACTGTGGGCTCTCCAGTAGGTGAGGAAGGAGATTTTTGTTTGTTTGTTTTTTACAGTATTGGAGATTGAACCTACCACTGAACTACTTCCCCAGCCCTTTTTATCTGTTTTTTATTTTGAGACAAGGTCTTCCTAAGTTATCTAGGCTGGCCTCTTGCCTCAGCCTCTCAAGCTGCTGAAATTATAGATGTGCACCTCTATGTCCAGCAATAAATTATTTAACCCAGCATATTCCTGAACAGAACAAGGCTGAGTGCTGTGTAGTGTTTCCTTTTCTCCCTCCCTCCCTCTCTCTTCCTTCCCAAAACATCCTAGACACGTATTCTGAATCATTTGCTAGAGAGAAAAGGTGTAAGAGTGGCACATGCCTGTGATCCCACTATTCAGGGATCACAGGCTGAGGTAGGAGGATATAAGTTCAAGGCTAGGCTGGGTAATTTAGCAAGACCCTGTCTCAAAAAAAAAAAAGAGCCAGGTGTGGTGGTGCATGCCTGTAATCCCAGCAGCTTGGGAGGCTGAGGGAGGAGGATCATGAGTTCAAAGCCAGCTTCAGCAACTTAGTGAGGCACTAAGCAACTCAGTGAAACCCTGTCTGTAAATAAAAAAATACAAAATTGGGCTGGAGATGTGGTTCAGTGGTTGAGTGTCCCTGAGTTCAATCCCTAGTATTAAACATAAAAAAGGGCTGGAGATGTAGCTCTGTGGTAGAGTGTTTGCCTAGCACGGGTGAGGCCCTGGGTTCAATCTCAATACCAAACAAACAAAAAACCCTCACAGAATAATAAAGGGCATATGACAGACTCTGGCTACAAAGAGCTCCCAGCATAATGTAGAAGTAGGTAGAAAAAGTGAAACACGATGGTTGCTATGGTGATGCAGAATACAAGAGTGGAAGCTACTCCTTAGATCAGATGCTGTGCGGGAGGCCAGAAAGAGATCACTGCCACCTCCATGCTTTGCAGACCCTTCCACTGGGACTACATCCAGAAGAGGTTCTGGCTTTAAGAAATTTATAGCATGAGACAGAAAACAAGTTAGGGGGAATAAGTGGAGCGAACCACAGAACCAATGTCAAACCAAACACAAACATGACCCCAAGTTCCCTAAGAAAACACTAAGGGGCTGAGTATGTGGCTCAATAGCACATCCTAACAAGTGCAGGGCCCTGGGTTCATCCCCAGCACTGAAATACAAAACAACACGGTAAGAGCAGAGGCACTAAGGAAGGGATTTTGAAAGGTGATCTGATGGTGCTGGGGATGGAACCCAGGGCTTCATATATGACAGGCAAATCCTCTACCACATAGCTGTATCCTGGTCCCAAAGGGTGATGTCCCACTGGGCATGGAGGGAATTAAGTAGAGGATAGAAAAGATTCTTCCTACAGACTCAGAATGGAAATCAAGGTTTCAAGGGCCCTCATGCCCTTAGACTCTCAGTGAAACTCTTTCTTAAAAAGTTAAGATTACTAGTGACCCAGCAATGCAAATGAGACATTTAAAAGAACTGAAAGGTTAGGTTCACAAAACAGATTGTAGTTACGTGTTTATAGGTACTTTATTCTTATATACTATAAATGGGAACACTCAAGAATCCCTTAATGGAGGAATGGTTGAACAGCTCCATCCATATATCCATAACATGGAATGCTGCTGGGCAGTAAAAAGAATGAACTACGGATACATGCAACAACATGGGTGACTCTCCAATACATTCAGTAAAAAACACCAGATTGAAATGGCTCCACAGGATGAGATTCTGGGAATGGTGAAGCCATGGCAACAGAAAACAAAGCAGGGTATGCAGGGGTTAGGGCTTCCCGTTTGGGCATGGAGAGCTGTGGGTGCTGAGGCAGGTTGTATGCTTCATTGTGGTGACTGCACACCATGTGACTCTGAAACCCACAGAGCTGTACGCTAAAGAGTGAATCTTATTGTATGTAAACTGTACTCAAGAAGGTTGGCTTTTGGGGTTGGGGTGTAGCTCAGTGGTAGGTCACTTGCCTATATGCACAAGGCCCTGGGCTCTATCCCTAGCACTTCAAAACACGCAAACAAACAAAGAAAAACAAAAATAACAACAAGCCTGGTTGTTTCTTGGTGTGTCTTAACTGCAGTTATTTCCTCTCCTATTTTCTTCGAGCATTGTGAGGATTTTCTTTCCTTTTTGCAGCTCTTGAGAATGGGGCTTCATGGCAGCCTGGCCTCATTGGCCCCGAGGCCTCTGCTCAATTGCAGATCTCAGAACTGAAAACACATCAATCTTCACTCTACAAATGCCCAAACTGGGCTCCAAGGGAGGAAGGACACCCTGCCTGCAGGCTGGTAAGGGAAGGCTCACCCTGCCCAGCGGTACTGGAACTGGGTATTCCCAATAACAAGCTGAGCTCAGGCAGGAGGGAGACACAAGGTAGTGACACCTTGGGGCTGGAGCCAGTGGCTCACTATTGGTGCTCCCCCTCCTCTCAGTGTCTGAAGGTAGTGCGACAGGGGTCACCCTGAGCACAACAATAACCTCTATACAACAGTATTTTCCAGATTGAATTCTCTCATGTTTACTTTCAAATTTAATGACTTTAATAGTCATCCAACCTGTTTATTTTGATTTGCTGGTAATATGTAAACCCTCTTATTTAACTTTCATTTTGCTAGCCTATCCAACGTAAAATGAACAATTGCTAAACTATTTCCTAATTTTATAACTTAAAAATGTCTTTCTTGGAAAATCTTTTTGATATGAATAAAATATCTTTCAGAGCCATCATTTAGAGGGGGCTTCTCTCCAACATGAGCTACCTGATGTTGAGTAAGGTCTGCACCCTCGCTGACAGCCTTTCCACATTCTTGACATTTATATGGTTTCTCCCCAGCGTGGCGGCTTCTCTGGCAGTCAGCGGGTTGTGGGGTAGGGCTGAAAGTCTTCCCACATTCACTGCACCCCAGGGACTTCCCACCAGTGTGGATTGTCCAGTGCAGAATGAGGTCTGCGCCATGGCTGAAGGCTCTGCCACGTCGCTCTCCAGTGGGCATCAGGCTGGGGCCACCCTTTCTACGCTGGCGAGGATTGTCTCCCGTGTGAATGTGCTGATGCTGTGTGAGGGTTGACCTCCGGCTAAAGGCCTTCCCACAGGCCCGGCACTCGTAGGGCTTCTCGCCAGTGTGGACACGCTGGTGCAGGGTGAGTTGGGAGCTCTGGCTGAAGGCTTTCCCACACTCAGAGCACTGATATGGCTTCTCCCCTGTGTGCACTCTGCGATGCTGCACCAGAGTGGAACTCCGGCTGAAGGCCCTGCCACACTCACCACACACATAAGGCTTCTCTCCAGTGTGAATCCGTGTATGTTCAGTAAGGTGAGAATTGAAACCAAAGGCCCGGCCACACTCCTGGCACACGTAGGGCTTTTCTCCAGTGTGGACCCTATGATGGAGGAAAAGGCTGGAGCTCTGGCTGAAGGCCTTGCCACACTGACTGCACTTGTGGGGCTTCTCCCCAGTGTGGATCCTCTGGTGCTGAATGAGGCTGGAGCTCCGGCTGAAGGCCTTGCCACACTGACTGCACTTGTGCGGCTTCTCCCCAGTGTGGATCCGCTGGTGCTGAGTTAACTGGGGGCTCTGGCTGAAGGCTTTGCCGCACTCCTCACACTTGTGAGGCTTCTCTCCTGTGTGAATGACGCGATGCTGAATGAGGCTGGAGCTTCGACTGAAGGCTTTCCCACATTCACTGCACCCAAAGGGTCTTTCTCCAGTGTGAATTCTCCGATGCAGAATGAGGTAGGAATTGAGCCCAAAAGTCTTCCCACATTCTTCACATTTAAACGGTTTGCTGCCAGTGTGGACTCGGCGGTGCAGGATGAGGCTCGCGCTGTGTGTGAAGGCTCGCCCACACCAACTGCACTCATAGGGCTTTTCCCCTGTGTGGCGCCTATGATGTCGACGGAGGTCTGAATTATATTTGAACGTTTTGCTGCATATATCACATTTAAAGACTCTCTCTCCTGTTTTATTCCTTTGAAGTCTAACAACATTTTGGTTTGGACTTAAATGTCTATCAACATTTAAAGAACACTCCTGGACACTCTCTCTTGGAGGCTGCTCCCTACATAGGACAGATTCCTCTCTAAAAACTCTCTTGTGCAGATGGGGTTTCTTCAGACTCTGGCCAGCAGTGTTTCCCAGGCTCCCTTCTCCCTTCCCCTCCAGGTCCCAAGGATCCTGGAACACAGGTGTCTGTGAATTGGCCCTTGAGAATCTTCTTGATACAAATGCTGGGCTCTTCACATCTTCAGAACACTCCTGGTTTAAAATGGACAGTTCCTTCTCAGTCCCAGTATCAGAATCTGTTACACAAAACATAAAGGAATTACTAGAGGACACCACTGTTCAGCAACACTCTTACACAGATCCTTACTTGGAAGGCAGATGTTCCAGTAGCAGATGTGCTATGCATGACTCAGCAAGAGGCAAAATGGCCAGTCACAGGATGAAAGTTCAGTCCACCAGGTACCACAGGAGGGAAACTCAAGCAAATTATGATTTTTTCACCTATCAAACTAGCAAATGAATCTGCCAACAGGCTGCTCCAGGTAAGGAACACAATAGGAAGCCAGAGAGCCTCTGGTCTCAGGAAGCTCACTGTATATTGAGGAAGAAAATCAAATACTTTTTTTTTTTTTTTTAAATGAAATAACACAGAGGCTGGGATTGTGGCTCAGCGGTAGAGCGCTCGCCTAGCACTTGGAGGCCCTGGGTGCGGTCCTCAGCACCACATAAAAATAAATAAAGTAAAGGCATTTTGTTCAACTACAACTAAAAAAAAAATATTAAAAAAATGAAATAACATGGATAATGGAAACTATTGAAAATACGGAACCATCTCCTGCAGCCTATGTGGTCAGAAGATCCCAGGAGCATGCGTGGCTTCAGAGGGAGCAAGAGCCAATGGGTCAGCAGTTGCAGAAGGCAGGCCTGGGTGAGATGGAGAACCACCAAGTCCAGGAATGCAAGGAGCCTGCCACGGCTAGAGCAAGAAGGCGGGTGGAGGTTCCTGTGCTGCGCTGATTCCCACACAGAGAATTAAAGGAATAATTCCTGTCCTGTACTGTGGGATGGACTATAAATAAATAGAGCTTTTTAAAGGGAAAGTTGGTAACACATAGCAAAAGAATTAATATTACACACCCTTTGTTCCCAAAATTGTTCTTCAAGAGTCTATGCTAAGTCAACTGTCATTTGCACAAAGAAATGATTATTATGACCATCCCTGAAATGTTCTCCCTAATTATGGGGAAACAAGAAAGAATTCAAATATTCAAAAAACAGAGGACAGGGCTGGGTGTGGCACAGTGATAGAGCACTTGCCTGGCATGCAGGAGGCCCTAGGTTTATCTCCAGCACTGCAAAAAAAGAAAGAAAAAAAAAAGAGTATTGTTTAAGTCAGCGATAGACGAGTCATATAATGGAATACCTTTCTGACATTATAATTATATAATAGAATATATAGTTAAAGGAAAAGTCTATGACATAAACTGAAAAATCAGTTTCTAAAATAATACACACAGCATAAACCAACTTTAACTGAAAATACATATGGAAGATAAGTGCTATTTCTTCCTTAAATGTTTGGTATAAGCTGGCGAAACCATCTGGGCTTGGCATTTTCTCTGAGATAGGAATTTTATTTACTGAACCAATTTCTTTAATACTTAAAAGATCATGTATTAATGCTTTCTTGTGTCAACCTTGACAAATTGTGTTTTCTGGGCAAATTGTGTTTTATCTCCATATTAAAACTTCTTGGCATAAACGTGTTCAGATGCCTTTTTATTACAGCCTGTGGATCTGTATTGTGGCCCCTTTTTATTTTGGTCATCTGTCCCTTCTTTTGTTCTTGATCAGTTATGACCAGAAAATCATAATACATTGCTATTGAGTGAAATAAAGACCTGGGCAAGTGAATAGATATGGTATACTTATGGACTAGAATATTTAGATTACAAAGATATCCACTTCTCTTGAAATTGATTCAATGCAACCTCAATCAAAATCACAATTTTCTCATTTCACAAAGTGATTCTAAAAGTAAATGCCAAGGGTCATCACTGAGGCAGACGGTGAGGTGGGAACACTCTTGCTGTTGGATATAAAGACTTATAACTTTTTGTTATCATTGTTGTCTGCAACACTGGGGTAAAAGGCAGGGCCTCCTATATGCTAGGCAGGTGCTCTACCATAACACCCTCCCAAGGCTTAAAAATCTACCGTGTTGCAGATTGCAAGTAAAGACAAATAGAGAACGGGAGAGAAAATTTCTAGATAGGGGTTTTTGCACACATGCATGTGATCTATGTGTGTACCTGAGAAGGTATCTACTCTTCTCACTTCAATGAGCAGGAGTCTCTCCATCTCCTTCTGGGCACCAGGGGGCAGATCAAGGTCTTGGGTTCCTCCCCCTGACTGGACTATGCTGAGGGCCCACTTTCTCCCACCGAGGACCAATTATGGCTAGCTGGAGTTGGAACCTACACGTTTATCCACTTTAAGCCAAACTTCTCTCTTCTTAAAATAGCTAATAGCTAGCTAGCTTCTTTCTTTACCTTCTTTCTTTTTTTCCTTCCTTCCTTCTGTTCTGGGGATGGAATCCAGGGTCTCACACATGATAGGCAAGTGTTCTGTCTCACCCCTTTTTAAAATTTTTATGTAAGATTTGTGTGTGTGTGTGTGTGTGTGTGCACGTGCACTGAAGATTGAAACCAGGATTGCTCTACCACCAAGCTACATCCCCAGCCATTTTTCATTTTTGAGATACCGTCTTGCTAAGCTGTCCAGGATGACCTTGAATTAGTGATCCTTCAGTTTCAGTCTCCTGAGAGTAATTACTGAGATTACAAGTGTGCGCCACCACACTCCTTAGACTTGAAGTTTTTTTTTTTTTTTTTTTTTTTTTTTTTTTTTTTTTAATAAGATAATAGAATACATACAGCATGAGAAAATTTATACTTTTCTGTTTGGAAATCTCATTACTTAAAATACTATATTAAAATAAAGAAAATCTCTTGGAAATCTAAGTATATTTAAAAATGATTGCTTTTTTCCTAAAAATTCAAGCTAATGGCATTGTTACTAGGTACATATATATGAAAAACAGATATAGTACATTTTAATCTATAAGAATCAGACTGGATTTTTTTTTTTTTTAGGTACCAGGGATTGAACCCTAAGTCCATTAACCACTGAGCCACATCTATAGCCCATTTAATTTATTTTTTATTTGAAATAGGGTCTCAATAAGTTGCTTAGGCCTCACTAAATTGCTGAGGCTGGCTTTGAACTAGTGATTCTCTTGCCTCAGCCTCTGGAGCACCTGGGATTACAGGTGTGCATACCTGCACCCAGCAAAATTGTGTATATTTCTTAAACTGGGTTTAATAATAAAGCAACTCCTATCTAAATAGGGGTTCAGTGCACTAACATGAACTGTGAACATGGGCCATTACTAAAATGGGATAAAATCGTTTAAAAAAAAATGTACTCTTAAGCCAGGCACAGTAGTGCATGCCTGTAATCCAGCGGCTCAGGAGGCTGAGAATCAAAGCCAGCCTCAGCAACGATGAGGTGCTTAACAGCTCAGTAAGACCCTAAATAAGATACAAAATAGGGCTGTGGATGTGGCTCAGTGGTCAAGTGCCCCTGAGTTAAATCCCGGTTACCGCCCCCCAACCCAAAATGTACTATTATAGAGGAATCCAAACAATATTGCAAAATTCTGTAGACATAAACTTTGTCTATGTCATCTTTTTGAGGGCAACTTGAAGGTTGATATTATTAAAAAAAATTTTTTTTCAGTACTGAGGATTGATCCCAGGGGTGCTTTACCACTGACTACATTTTCAGCCCATTTTATTTTGGACAGGCTCTTGCTAAATGCCCAGGCAGGCCTCAAATCCAGTCCTCCTGCCCCTGACTCCTGAACCGCAGGGATTAGGGGTATCCATTACTGCAAAAGGCTTCCAAATGATATTTATTTATTTATGTGTGTTCGCACACGTGTGTGTGTATAATATATATATATTTTTTTTGGTGGTGCTGGGGATTGGACCCAGGGCGCACTGTGCATGCAAGCGAAGCACTCTACCAACTGAGTTATATCCCCAGCCCCCAAATGATTTTTAATATATGTTATAGCTAGGATCTGGAATGCCCACCAAAGGCCCATGTTGAAGTTAACCCCCAGATGGTGGTGCTATTGGCAGGGGGTTGAACCCTTACACAGAGGGACCTGGTGGGAGGTGGCAAGGGCTTTAGGGATCTGGCCCTTCCTCTTCTTTATGTCCCAGCTGCCAAAACTACTCAAGACTTCTCTGCCACACACTTCCGCCTTAATGTGCTGTGCTGCCACAGGCCAAGGCAGCAGGGTCAGATAATGGTGAGTCAATAAATCTTTCCTCTGTTTAAGTTGATTTTCTTTGTCACAGAGACATAATGCTAACACAACTTCTCACTGTATCTTGCTAGCAATGCAGGTTTGTTTTTTGTCATTCTTAAATGATTCAAGGGTCTTCAGGTTATTTCAAAATAGATAATATTTATGCTCCTATTTATGTAAAGGCTTTAAAAATTAGAGCTGATGGGCTGAGGTTGTGGCTCAGCGGTAGAGCACTTGCCTCACATGTGTGAAGCACTGGGTTCAGTTTTCAGCACGGGACATAAATATGAATAAAATAAAGGTCCGTCAACAACTAAAAAATTTGTTTAAAAATTAAAGCTCATCTCTAAAGTTCCCCATTATGAATATTAATTAGAATAACTACATGCCCTCTTCTCTGAAGGTGAGGCAATTACTCCTCAAACCATACCAGTCCTCATCATGCTCCTTGGAAGATGGAAACCAATGAAAACCATCTTTTCCCTTCTAAGACCTCACTCACAACCCACCCAAGAGACTCAGGCACCAGTGCCTGTCCAGGGCCATCCCATCTGAGAAACTGCTAGCCCTGACAACCCTGCAGCATGGACTCCAGCAAGTGATACCACCCAGAAATGCATGCCGGGTCCCGGGGGACAGAGCCACCACTGAGCTGCAGTGTGTCGAGGACAAGGGCACCAACAGGCCAAAACAGTCCTAAAAGATGGTCTTTGCACAAAGGGGTCTGTGACGTCTATCCCTGGGACAGATACCACAGCCAGGGTTCACTCAGTGGGCCCGGGAAGCTCTAACCACACAAAACTGCTTGCAAAATTAGCATGGCCAGGGCTGGAGATGTGGCTCAAGCGGCAGCGCGCTCGCCTGGCATGCGTGCGGCCCGGGTTCGATCCTCAGCACCACATACAAACAAAGATG